GGGCGCGGCGGTCGGCCCGGCGCGCGCGGCGCTGCTGGCGCGGCTGATTCAGGAGGCGCATGCCGGAGCAGCCGGAGACAAGGATGATGGTTGAGGAGCAGCAGAGAAGGCGAGTGGCGCTGCGTGGCTCTCGGCGTGTGCGGGGCGGGGCGGTCGCTGGTTTGGGGCGTGTGCCCACGACCTTGGGAGCGAGGCGTTGCAGCGTCGCCGCACAGGGAGCGGCAGCCCAGCAGGCGCAACGCTAGGGCACCATGAGGCCGTGCATCTAGCGCCGGCCATTCGTCGATTTGTTTTTGTACAGTGTGTTGCGTGTTACCGTATGCGCCCCTTTAGAGCACGCAAACTGCCCGTGAGCAGCTGGGCCCTCTAGGGTTGCGTTATGCACCCTGTCGTTCCCTAAATGTCTTTCTAAACGCTTATAGGGCCCATCAACGGAATGGAGGCTCCACATCCGCCAGCGCGGGTGAAAACTCGAGTTTTGCAGACTGCCGAGCAGGTCGAGGACGGAGCTGCTGAGGCCAGGTGAGTGCGTAATCTACACGTATTTTTCACACAAGCGCGTTGCGTATTGATGCTGCAAAGGCGCCTGTATGGCGGCCCAGTCGCGGCGTCGCGACCGAGCTCGCGTCTTGCTGCGGGCGTAACGGCCCCAAGACGCGCCGCGCCACCGCTGCTGCCCTGCCCCATTTCCCACCCGCACTGCGCGCTTTTGCTCGCCCTGGCCCCTGCAAATCTCACCCCACCCTGCTGCCGCTGCCGCCGCCCTCTCCCTCACCCCTGCCTGTTCCCATTCCTTTCGATCCCTCAACCATGCGTACCTTGCTCCTCACAATCAGGACCCCAACCTTTACCCTCGACCAACTCATCAACGTCTTTGATGCGAAGCTCTTCTGCGTCTCCCCCATCAAAGGCGCCAGCAGCGCCGGCGGCGCGCCCCCGAGCGCCGACGGCAGCCCTGCGTCGTTGGTTGCGGCCGCCGCCGCTGCTGCTGCGGCGTCCGCGCGCCGCTCGACCGCGCCGGGCGGGCTAGGGCTCTCCCCTGACCGCGCCGCGCGAACCCCTGATGTGCAGCCGGCTTCCCTGCAAGCGGGGCCCCCGACGCCCCCGCAGCCAGGCACCGCGCCGGCGGCGGGCGGTGCGGCCGCGGCGGCAGCCGCGTGGGCGATTTACGGGCTCGCGCCACGGCCAGGGATGCCGGGGTCCCCCCCGGGGTTGGAGCCGCTAAGCTCGAGCCTCAGCCCGGCCGGCTGGGCGCCGGGGGCCGCCGGCGGCGGCCTGCTGGCCGGCGCTTACAGCAGCGACGGCGGCTCGAGCAGCGCTGCGGACGGCGCGGGCGGCAGCCGCCGCGGCGCGGGCGCAGGCGCGCCCGCTTCCGCTTCCGCGGGCAGCAGCAGCCCGGAGGGCGGCGGCGGGGCCGGCGGCTGGTTTGCTTGGCCCGCTGCGACGCCGCACCCATTGAGCCCGCTCGGCAGCGGCAGTTGCGGCGGCGGCGGCTTGGCCCCTCGGCTTGTTGTGCCTGGCCCTGCCGGCAGCGTCTGCGGTGCCGGGCCGACCGCGTTTGAGCTTGGCGGGCTGCGGCCGGCGGCCGCGGCGGCGGCGCATGAGCCCGGCCGCAAGAGCTTGGGCCCCCGTGGCGGCGCGTTTGGGAGCTTCATATGCGGCACCGGCAGCAGCGGCGCCGGTGCCGCCGCGGCGGCGGCGGGAGCTGCGGCGCCGACGACGCCCAGCCTGGCCGCTGCTGCGGCGCGGGCCGGCGCTGGCGCTGGCGGCTGCGGCGGGACACCCGAGTATGCGCCACACGTTATGGTGGTCCTGACAGACAGCGTCGCTGACAGCGCGGCGCCCGCTGCCGCGGGGGGCGAGGGCAGCCCGCTGGCGCCGGCCGAGCGGCCGCCCCGCGGCGGGCGCGGCGGCAAGCACAGGCAGAAGGCAAAGCTCAACCAGTCCCTGGCCGCGCTCGCCGCCGCCGGCGCGGCGCCGGGCGCGGCGGCGGCGGCGCAGCAGTACGTGCGGCGCTGCCTGGCGCAGTACAAGCGGCGACACCACGGCGACGCGGCGGCGCTGGAGCTGCTTACGCGGCACCTGGTGCGTTTTTATGCTTCCTCCTGATGATGACGTCACCGGGTTACATACGCTGGTCATGCGTGACATGCGATTTGCATCGCTGCGCCGGGGTCCCCCGCACTCTTTGCACAGCGGGCCGGCGCCTGCTCCTGGCTCGGCCCGACCTTGCACTGACAGCCGCCTCATGAGGCGGGGGCCGTTGTATCGTCTCCGCGCCCTCACCCGGCCCCCTCCTGAGCAGCTTCCACCATCACTAATGCATCCCTCGCACCCAACCACCCCCAGGCCTACCTCATCGGCGGCGTCGTGCGCTTCCAGCTAGACGCCCTCATCCCCTGGGCAGACCTGCCGGTGCCTGCCCCCGCTGAGCTGGCGGATAAGACCCGCACCCCCACCTACAAGGCCTGGCTCTGCCGCCTCGGCGTCGTGCCGCCCGACGCGTTCGCGACCGCGGACTCCGGCCCGGAGTCCGCGTGCGGGACGCCGACGGCGGGCGGCGGGGGCGGCGGCGCGTTTGGGGCGGCGCCGTTCTGAGGCGGGCGCGGGGGCTGGCCGCGCTGCGCCGCCCCTTGTTGCTGTGGGGCCTGTCGCGGCTCAATGGCAGTGTCCGGCATCAGACCGCTGACTTGCGCGCAGCCTTGGGGTCTTTGTACGTCTAGAATGGCCGAATCGCACACTGCCGCCCATGTAGGACCCTTGTCACTGCTCCTGAACCTCTGTTTAGTCAGGCGACTGTGGCATACGCCACAGTGCTCATCTGGACGTACAGCCTTTTCGCGCGCCATGCGCACTCAACGCGAGCGACCCCAGCCTGGTGGGCGCGGCTCGGCCCTGTGGCCAAGCTCTCACTCAGGGTTTAGGGTTTAGGGCTTTTGGGCCGCCAGGGACCTCCTGCCACCTGGCGGGCTGCAGCTGCTGGGCGCTTGCCTTGCGCCCAGGGTTGTGCTGGGACCTGGCTTTCGTCCAAAGACCTTCCCTTGTGTGTGTCGCGCCCGCATCCCCTTGCACATGCCCTCATCCCCTTTGCCCATTCCTGTGCAGCCGCAAACTTGACTTGCTTCGCGTGTGCTGGCCACTGGCGGCAACTCCTCTGCGTTGTGCATGGATACTGCTGGCTCCTCCGGCCGCCCGTTCGCTTGGGCGCCCCTGCCAGCGCAGCGCATGTGACCGCTGTCCGCCGCTGTCTGCACTCTCATGCATGCATGCATGCATGCATGCATGCCCAGTAAATATTTGGTGATCGGGGAGCCCCAGTTCATGTGTATATATACATTTACTGCACATAGTACATGGAACGGGGTGTTCAGGCATAAGACATGTCGCGACACCATTGTTGGGGTTCAGCCTTTTTGCAGAAACACTCGTCTAGGCCGGCGCCGCCTGCGTAAAGGGATTGGGCATGGCAAACCCCTGCAGACACCTGCTACCAAGAACCTGCAGTCACTCTTCACACATAAGTATTTTGACTACCGTGTACAGGATTATGTTGCTATCAAACTGCGAAAATGTGCGGATGGCAAAACAGAAAACAGATTCAGATTATGAATGCACACCAAAACAGCTCCTGCAGGGAGTGGTGCTGCGGCCACAAGTGAATGCAGACGTGCACACACACACACACACACATACACACACACACACACACACACACACACACACACACACACACACACACAAAAACACACGCACATGCACGCAAACGTACACCTCCCACTCAGCAAAGCACGCCCCTCAAACAATGCGCAGCGACTGCTCGCTGCCACGTGGGAGCACTGCGGCGCGCAGGGCGGACAGCGCGTCCGGCGCGCTGCTGGTCAAACTAACTACTTTGACCGGCGCGCCTAGGTGACACTATTGACTGTCAAGCTTGACTTTGGGTCCATGAGCCGCGTCCTCAGCTTGAGGGGCCTGCTCGCCCGCCAGCGGGCGCGCCACGCCAGCATCTCTTTCCGGTTTGCATAGCCCGTCTGCCGCACGACGGCTGCGAGGGCCGGGCTCGCTTCCAACGCCGGCAGCGGCCGCTTGCCGGTCGCCAGGCGGCTGGTGAGCGACAGCGCGTCCCAACCTTGGACGCGCAGGACCTCGAGCTGCGGCAGCCAGACAGCGGCTGCGAGGAGGCTCGCGGCGCTCGGGTGCAGCGGTGCAGAGGCGGAGACGTCGAGGGTTCGCAGCGCAGGGAGGGGCTGGATGCAGAAGGCTTCCCAGAAGAAGGGATTTCTGCCCAGGCGGGGGTTGCCGCGCAGGTCGAGGCGTGTCAGGGCGGGCACCCACGGCGCGCCCTGAAAATACCAGAGGGCCGCGTCGGTGATCCCCGTGAAGCCCAGTTCAAGATCGGCGAGCGCGGTCAACGCGGGCGCGTCGCCGAGCGCGGCGACGCCGCAGTTGCCGATGGGGCAGAGTGCGAGGCTCAGCGAGCGCAGGCCGCGCGCCCATTCGGCCTCGAGAATGAACTCGAGGCCCAGCGCAGATATGGCGTTGCCTGAGAGGTCGAGCCGCGTGAGCACGGGCAGCGGCGCCGCCGCCAGGTCACCGGCGTCGGTGTCGGTGAGGCCGTTGCAGGAGAGAGAGAGCGACTGCAGCCGCAGCAGCGGCGCGTCGCGCAGCGGCGCGAGGCCGCCGCCGCCGAGCTCGCAGGCGTCTAGGCTGAGGCTGCGCAGGGTGGATAGGAAGGGCGCCCCGCGGCCGAGCAGGCACTCCAGGCGGCCGTCGGCGAGGCCGTGGCCGAGGGCGCCACGGAGGGCGCCGCAGAGGCGCAGGGACGAGAGCGCCGTGAGGTGCGTCGCGCGGCCGAGGGCGCCGAAGGTTTTGGGGGCCGGCCTCGACAGGGCCAGCTCCTGGGCAGTTGGCGTGGGGTGTGCGAGGGGCGTGCTTTGTGCGGGGCTGGGCTGGGCAGGGCGCGCGTGCCCTTGACAAGGGGTCCTTTAAGAGAGACGGCGTGAGAGCCTCGCAGGGTGGGGCAAGCTGAGGCCCGGTTGAAGGCGGTCCTGCTGGGCGCCATGCGGAGCATGAGAAGGCCGCAGACCATGCCCCCAGCGTGCCCAATGCAAGGGCGGGGCGGCCCCGCGCGCGCGCCCGCCCGCCTCACCCGCAGCCCCGGCCATGCGCCGCGCGCCAGCGCCGCGTGCAGCGCGCCCTTCTTGTCGCGGTCTGGCCGGCAGCGCGCCAGCTTTACGAATTCGAGGCCCGACAGCTGGGCCAAGGTCGAGATCACGGCGCCGAGCACGTCGGCAGCGCGGACCCTGTCATCTTGGGGTCCCTTATATTCGTAGCAGTACAGGTCGAGATCCCGCAGCTGCGGCACCGCGCGCAGGCAACCCGTCACAGCGGGCGCCGTCTGCGCGTTGCACCACGCCTCGCTTAGCTGGACGCTGAGGCGGGTCAAGGCGCGAAGCCGCGGCAGCGCCCACGCGGCGGCGTGGAGGATAGCGGGGTGCTCGTCGCCCCACCAGCCGAGCTCCCCTAATGTGAGTTCCCGCAGGCCGGAGAAGTGCGGCAGCGCGCGGGCCACTGACACGGCCGTCTGGCGCGCGCACGCGTCGATGGGGTTCGCCGGCTGCCGCGGCGCGCGGCGCGGCGGGGCGGCGTGGGCG